GATGAAAGGCAAGACAAATACTCTATTTAGGGAGTAAGATAATATTCCTCACGGAGTAAGTTCTTGCTTTCAGCTTCACAGCAAAACAGCAGAACTGCTTGGGGCGTTCTGAACATTTACTACAGAGCCCATACAGCCGCCTTTGACAGGGTTCAATCTGCCAGCTCTGCACGAGATTTTGCCAAAACTTCTGTCTGAACATGAGTAAGAATTACAGTCTAGGGTAGTATGAACGATACACACACTGTAAATAAAGAAAATGCTGTACTTGCATATAAAGAAAGATGGGTGTCAGGTTTATTAAAGAAAGGATTTCTGTCTTTGTTTCTGCTAGGGGACTTTTTTCCAACTCTGTCCTTTCTTATAGCGCACGCTTTCTCGCTTTTTTTCTTTCAAAATCCGATTTGCCTAAGGATATAACACCCTAAAGATACAAACCATGAGGTGCACACTCAGAAAAAAAACACGTCATTAGAGCAGCTGACACAGATCGAGTGAGCTTGAAAGCAAAAGCACACAAGGAATCCTGACACGAGTCGGCGAAAAGCTGCCCCATTCCCTGTTGTCCTTACCTTTGAGGTTGGAAAAAGTGGTATTTTCAACTTGAAAGCAGTTCTCCTCTCCTGGCCCAGGACTGCGTGTGGCTCTCAGCTCATCGAGGTCTGGCACCTGCCCTGCTGCAGCCGGGTCTCCAACACAGGTGAGGATACTCCAGACCTTTTAAAATAACAGCTTTGGGGCAGGATATCTCCATCTGAGACACCCCTGTGAATTTCATCCTCACAGCCTCTTCCTACCATATCACAAATCAAAAGGTTTGTGCAGGAAACCAACCTCTAACATTCTGTGAAAAGGGGGTTTTTGTTTGTTTTATGATGACTAAGTAATTTTTTAATGGAACAAACGGACTCCCAAGAATTACAGTCAGGCTTTATCACACCCAACTCATGTCAAACGTACTGTCCCAGTGCAAACGTACTGGAGAAGGCAGGTTTCTTACACTGCCTGACAGTTTGGTTGCAAAACTGCTCTCAGTGGCTTGTATTTTTCTGATTTTTAATGCCAAATGTCTGTGGTCAGGAAAAAGTCTACTAAAAGGCCCTTTATTTTGCTTCTACTCAAAAATCTTGGGCACATCAGAAAAGCTTTGTTTGCTGGGGAATGATCCGAAATGTAGCAAAACAGAGGATTTGCAAAACATGAGTCTTTTGTTGCACCCATGAACGAGGCCCAAAACTTGACGGTCGTTTCTGCATCTCAATATTTCTGCAGCCGGATTTCCCCACATTTCAGTCACGCCGGACGAGCTCCTTCACAGGCGACACGGCGAGAGGAGAAGAGGACACAAAGTGGGACTAAAAGGCGATGCCAGGATCTTCACCACCACCGAGGTTTCCACTCGTGGATACTCCTGACAGCTGCGACATTCTGTGTGTTCAATGGCACAAAAACACAGCGAAGTCAGGAGCCCAGGCTGAGGTCTCACGGGCAACTTGAACCTACACCTACATTTGGGATGTGTGATTTCACCTCAGATTGACTCTTCAGAATTCCACAACATTTTTCAGCTAGAAGTTGTTAACTAATGATGCCTTCCAGCAACGCTGCAAGGTAAGCAGGTATTTTTGCATCATTTTTACTGATGGAAAAAAGGAGATGTTGCCATCCCTGGGCCGAAGCCAGCCAGCCCCAGAAGCAGCTTTTGGGCTGCCGATTCCATCCGGTCAGGCCACAACTCGCTCTTCGATGTTAAACAAGAAACACAGAGCCACAGGCAGAGCCCTGGTAAACAGGACACGCAACGCAAGGCAGTGAGTCAGTCCTTTAACACTTGTAATACCTAAAGAATTAGAGCTTTAAATGATTAAAGAACAGTCTTGGTCCAAAATCCACACTCTGAGCTGGAACGGTTCATAGGTCCAGTATCACCAATTCACACCGCACTGTTTAATTTAAGAGATCACACCAAGGAGGTACAAGAGCGTAAAAATGCTTGCCCAGCCCCAAAGCAAGCCTTGGTGTCTCACCATCAATATAAATGAAATTATTAAAAGATATAATCATCTTAAAAGGCTCTTTCAAAATGTCCAGCTTGCATAACTGGCACCCCAGCACTGCCTGAATAAATCATGAACTCGTCCTGTCATCAGAAACTGCACCCGGGCTGACACCCCGGTGAGGGAACAGGCTGCACCGCGAGTTTTACTGTTCGGTTCATTACACAGCAGAGAACGCAGCAGCCACGGAAGCTCTCAAGCTGAAAAGCCAACCCAGCTGAAAAGCCTTGTAGGATGTAATTTTGACTAACTTAATGTCTAATACTTAAGGGTTCATTATAACCACGATAACCCATTTCATTCAAGGAATCACATCCAGGAACTGATCTTTAGACAAGGATGTAACAAATGGTAGCGAAACTCTGTTCTGAACATAACCAGTCACCCTGAAAGCCAAATATTTAGAACTACCAGAATGGGAAGGGGAAAAAAAAGCATCAGATATCTTTTCAGGTAAAAGCAACTTGAAAATCTGCTAAATAAACGCAACTGACATTTAAAACATTTCAGGCCTAGATGCATTCAGAGCTTTTCAAAATACAGGCAGAAGAAAACAGAGGGTGATGGAGAGCAAGGGGAGTGCACAGACCTTGCGGTTCACACTGCAGCTTCAGCTAGGCAGGACTGCCCACCTGGCCCCAACGTTACAGAAAAACTTTGGCAGAGGGGAAAGAAAAAAAAAAAAAAAGAGAGGAGTTGGGTGGTATGCAGAGCACATTTTACGCTTAGTTTACAACTACTCTCAAATTGATTTCTGTGTTGAACAGGAAAAAGACGTTAGCAGCTTACCTAGCTGTAACTCCTTTCCTCCCCTCTTCTCATATTTGAGTGAAAAGATAAGAACAATTAAGTTACTGTAGAGCATTTTCAATTCATCAAATAAGCAACATTTCTCTGTTTTCCGGTATCTTGCCTTTTGGGATTTCTGCCTTAATTCACATATATGGGATATGCCTGTAACTGTGCTGAAATTCAGAAAGCAGAGTATACTGAAATGGTGGCCTTATTTATTCTGTTTAAAAAACACACGGTGCAGCCCACGCAAACACTCCATCCACTGCAGCGGGATTCGGTTCCACTTCAGGGAGGCAGGAGACAATGCAACAAGCAGTGGGATTTTAAGTGAAACCTGGACAAGGTGTACCAGAACAGCTCAGTGCTTGACTGGGGCATCCCGAGAACCCACTGAAGCATTTCCATTTTCCAGCGAAAAGGGGTAAAGCTGTCCGTCTGGTCACGCTGTCAACAGGCACCTTCAGCCAGAATTTAAAAGATACTAAAAAAAAAGTCCAGGGACAAAACCATTTAGGTTTTAAAGTATTAACTTTATTAATAAATATACATCCATATGATGATGTAAATACAGATCATGAACACTACTCCATTCCCATACACATAATTGCACACGAGTAGCTCAAGTTCATGGACATAAAAACATACACAGTATCTAATCAGGCTTTTTACAGCAGAGGATGGGGTGCTGATACTACTTATTTAACAGATTACTGTTTTCCCCAAAGTAAACCTGTGGAAAAGCAAATGATGAATGATTAAAGTATTAAACAGTGGTTCAAATTTGAGAATACAGACTTTTCTATTGGAAAAAAAAAACAAAAAAAATCATGAGAAAGATCTAGTCTCTACTGAATCATAAATATATTTAAGCAGTGTTAAAATATATGCATTAGAATAGAAAAGAATAAACTTACTTTGTGGTCAGAAATGAAATCTGCAGTTCAAAGTATTTATGATTGTTATCAACTGTTTTAACTGACAACTCTAAGGATAGCGTGAAACATTATTATACACAGAACAAAGAATAGCAGAGTCACAGCTAATGAAACCATCGGACGAATGACTTCACGTTGCTCTGCCTTTTAAAGCTCTTCAAACATGGGGGAGGGAATTAAGTTCTCATCTGAATTACTCTGTGTGTTGTAGCTCCAAGTAATTCTTTTCCAAGACACATCGCGTTTCACTGACAAGGCTTGGTTTTGTCCTGACTGAACTCTAAGGTCTTTCAGATAAAATGAAAATATATTCATTCCAAACGGAGATCTTTAATGGCTCTTGATACGTCGTTATTTGGATCAGTTTAAACTAAATCCACGATATAAAGAACATTGCTTTAAAGACAAAGCTAACCGCTGATTTTAAAAATACTATCTTTGATATCAGCCAGCCACTTCTGATGGTATCTGATTTTCTTCTGCCAAAGCATGGTGCTAGCATCTTGAGTATGTCCAGTGCAAGACTCTATAGTAGCAAAATTATTTGGTTTTAAAGTTTAAGTAAATTTAATTAGAAACTGAATAGTAGTTACTATATGTATATTAAACAGTGAACTCGTATAGCATCATTAAGGAATAACAGCAAGCTAATACATTTCATTTATGTATAAATAAGACGTTAGAAACTTGATAATCAAAAGAAATTATTAAAAAAAAATTGACATGTAGATCTTCCGAACAGTGTTAACACACAACAGTGATCCTAGCTTATGAATAGCTGAATTATGATATATAATATAAAATAAGCAATTTACCTTACAAGTAATGATTTCATACTAGGGGGGGAAAAGGCCAGTTTTCCCACTGGTGCTAATAAAGTTTAGGCATTAACATGCTGTGTCAGTGTTTCTCATGGGCAGAAAAGTGTTGAAAAAAGCACAACGTATTCTGCAGATTATACATAGGAAAAGCAGAAGCATTTGAAAATTCTCCTTCTAATTTACTTTGAATCTCTTCTTTTTTCCTTCCCCTCACTGTATAGTGAGACTATCATCAGATATGAGATAAACCACAACTAGGAAACACCCAGCAGTGCTCTTCTGGTCTCCTGGCTAAACCTGGAGTGCCAGGCAGCTCCTTACAGACTCTCTGAGCGCTTTTTCGACTTTATGCTCATCACTTCACGATTGACAACGTTAATTGGTTTTCACCGGGCTCTTATTACATCCATCTGATGTAATTAGTAAACACTGTAATGGAACAGAAACCGCTGAGATGATTTCATTATTTCATCGGCATCCTCGAACACAAAATTCATTATCCTAGCGGAACAGCAACACACCGGCATCGCGATCTCCTGACACACAGCACGGCCCCGCTGGGCAGATGCACGGGTGAGAAACAGACCAGGAGCAAACGGGATAAACAGGAGGAGGTAAGAAGCGGAGGTTCTCCAAGGGACAGTGGTGACATGCAACACGTTCCTTGCCAGCGAGGTGCGGCTCTCCTGCAGTTACTACATTCAGCTGAAGAGGACTGCTTTCCCAGCTGAGTTCAGGAAAGAACTGAAAGCAGCCTTTTGTTGAAAAACCATCTGATTAGAACCAGCCAATGCAACACAGATCCTGAGGGTGAATTAACTCACGTTAGCATTTCACGTGTGTGTCGGAAGTTACATCGTTCCGAGAAAGACTGCTAAAGTTCAGGCTGGCAAGTTTGTTGAGGAACACAACGGATAACTGGATTTCATAGCTTCAGCATGAAGACACTATTTTTTTTAGTAGCAGTTTAGCTGCCATTAGTTCATCTATCGCCTAAGGAGCCATCCGGTACAGCTGAGGTTCATTGTCTGAGTTGCCAGTGCATATACAGTTCCCCCAAAACCATTCAACACACCTATTGTAAAGTACAGCATAAAGTCCAGCTCAATATGTGTTAGGCATCACTGGAACACCTGAAGGCTTGCTGCTTTTTTCCTGATAAAAAAGGTATGAAACATGACATCTGTTTCTTAAGTTGTCATCACTGAAATCAAGAGTTCTCATAAAAATGACAGCAGGCCAGAATAGCAGTTATGTTAACAAAAATTACCAGCATCACTACTCATTCAGCACAGGCTCAATTAACCCCATTTTTTATATTTGCTCCCCGAAATTTGCAAACCCTACCTATTGCCCCTCCCCAGATATTTGAAGCTACAAATTTATTGTAATGTCATATTATTCATGGACCAACTTAAACCTTAACTGTCTTCTAGATTAAGAAAAAAATAACCCCAAACTTTAATTCCAGTAAAATAAATTTAGAACAAACAATATGCAACATTGACAACTGATTCTTTGAAGCCCAGATTAAAGCATTTTGCACACATACACTCACACGCTCTCTCACACTTAAAAAGAAATTACACACACCCATTTGAAAAATGGAGCATTTCTTTTGGAGGGGAGAAAGGTTTTAGTTTGAGTCAAGAAAGGTATTTATAGTCAACTGACAACATTTTTTTTTCAGCTTGCATGCATAGATGAATTACTTTATATCTGGGGTCTGGCAGTGCAGTAAACTGCTTCCTGTTTGCATCAGCTATACAGTTTGCTTTTAGAAATCATCAAAACGGTATCCTTTGGTAGATATATATATAAGCTTCCATAAGTTAAATATAGTATAAGTGTCAAACAACAAAATAACTGCATTTCCAGGAAGATCTGGCAAAACTAAGTCTGCAAACTTGGCAACAGTGTCTACTGAAAAAGTTTAATTTGTAAACATTATAGATTGATACTTTAAAAGCTATTAAACTGTTGCCACCTAAGCACAGATTTTAAAGGCAAAGAACAGTGTAAATAGCTATTTACAGATTTAAGAACATACTGGTTAATATTAACGGAGTGCGTAATTAGAATGAACAGTAATTAATTTCTTATAAAATACCTCAAAGAATTATTTGTGGTTTGGTATACATACTATTAGGCATTTCGAAATTACACAGCAGAATCCTGTAATGGCATAACTAAAAGAACAGCTATCACCTAAAGGCAAATTAACTCGTAATAATAAGGCGCTGTGAAGCTGTGACACACTGTACAAATGCTCCCTTTTCTTGAGTATTTTCAAAAATATTTCCAGAGCATTAGTTGCAACTGACTTCATGCTCAACTCCAGAAACAAAAGCCATCTGACATCGGCACTTTAAAAAAATGGTTGGATGGTTTTTTCTGTTGGTTTGCTTTTTAAGGATCGATTTGAGGTCTGTAGAAGCTCCTGCAGAAGCAGAAAATGTAGCTTGCCGCTTTCTTTATCAGTTTTTCTTATCAAGTAAGAACTCATCTGGCTAAGTTCTTTATTGTGGGATAGGCCACATCATGAACCAACAGCCAGCCAATTCTGCCCTCCTTATGTCAATTATTTAATGCATAAGCACACACCTAGATTTACCAGAAATGGAATGTAAAACTAGGAACATGGACATTAATTGTCAACATCAAGGCATAAAGCATCACTTCAGACTTCCATGATTTAAAACTTAACAAGATCCCCTTTAAATCAGCGCCTTCTAAACACTGCTTTAAAAGTTCCTGAATTGCAACTGTAGGCTGTGACATTATCTGAATCAAAATAAAAGCTAGAAACTCAGGCAAACACTACAACAGAATGCAAGAAACATGCCAAAATTCAGAGTAAAGCGGATTAGTAAAGAGTGACTAATTCCCTCCTTTCATTCATTAGGCTGTTTGATTTTGCCACTGGTTTCACCAGCAGCATGTACTCCTCTGTTATGCACCATGGGATAGGGAAAAGCTGCACTGCCACAAGTATAACTTAGATTTGCAAGCCGTGATAGAGCTTTAATGCTACCTGGAGGTCTGCCTGGGCTGACTTTGTATCCTGCTGCTTTAGTTGTACCCAAGGGTCTGCCTGGACTTGTCTTAAATCCAGCTGCTTTGGTGGTCCCCAGGGGTCGACCTGTGCTGGTTCGGTACCCCGCCGATTTGGTGGTCCCCGACGGTCTCCCACGTTTACCAGATCGGTTGAGGTTTTTCTTTTTCTTTAGTTCGTCTTTTGTCTCTATATTCCTGCCACTCGTGGTCTGCAAGTGCGATTCGTTCAACGCATCTTGTCTCTGGCAGGCGATGGGTTTGTGGCCGACCGCGTGGCCGTATTTGCTTTGCTGCGTGGCATACAAGTCAAACTGATCGGCGGCTCTCACGTTCTCTTCGTTAAGGCAAGAACTCTTGCCAGTCCCACAGAAAGCTGCATTACTGCTGGCAACAGGGTGCATCATTTTCTACCAAAAAAACAAGAGACAAACATGTATCAATATACAGTGATAGTGCAGATAGCAGACAGCATTTCTCGGCAAATGAGAATCTTTCAAAAGCAACCTCTTTTTCTTTAAAATTAGTCCAAACTACTCTGTTTTTAGTAAACAGTATTGATGTCAGTAAATTGCTTTTTAAAATGAGTTTTATTAATCTTCCACTTGAGGTTCTGCATGGTAACCTTTATGCACAGGTGAAAAAAAGGCAATTTAAACCACATACTATTCAGACAGGTATAACTTAAAAAAGTGAAGAGCATTTCAGCACCTAAGATACACAATATCTGCTCAACCACCATGATTTCATGATTTCTCATCTAAATTCTAACCACTTTAGTTGTAGGACTAACCTGTCACCCATAAGCCAAGGAAAAATATGGTATCAGTCTCTTGATTCAGTAGATACAGACTCCCCAAGACTTTTTTTAAAAACTGTAACAATTTAACAAAACACTAATCAGTTTGGTCAAGTCACAATTTATGTGAAAGACCGAAAGAAACAGGTAAGGCATTCAGTGAAGACAAGGGTGCCACAGTTGCAAAGCAGAGGCACAAAATCAATTCCAAAGTACAAAATACTAGACTGCAGAAAAGCCACTGCTGTCCTCGGCAGAACAGCAGGTACGAACTGCTGGTAATGCCAACGCTGATAAAAACTTTGGGAAAAACAACACAACTCCTGTTAGAGACGTACATGTTGTCACACATCTCTGGAAAACAAGTATGGCCCAGCACAGTGAACAACTGTTTCACAGAGCCTGTTCTTTTGGACAAAACAACTTGAGCTGTGCTCTGTTTTCCGAAGTTCACTTGTTTCAACAAGAATCAAAGCTCTCTCTCCAGGACAGCAGAAGGGTGACTCCCACCTGCCTGTTCCAGCAGGCTAACCCCAGGTCCCAGGGACAAACAAGACGTCCATCCGCTAGCAACCATGTGTGGTCACCGTCAGAATCACGAGCCACTACTTCTAAGTAAATTGGTTATGCTTATATCCATCATCTCAAATCCCTGCAGCGTATGTACTGGGGCAGAATCCCAGCAGTTAAGAGTATTACTGATGTTCTAAAACTTTTTCAGTACTAATGCTTCTGAATACCAACTGCAAGGATACTGCCTCAGGTTTCTGAACAGTGGTGATACCGTAGGAAGCCAGGCAAGGCACTCAAGGAACAACATGATAATATTTTCACCCATTCAACTTTGTATGTTCTAACGTAAACTTAGTGTTTGCAGCTTGTTTAAGATAACAATATTTAGCCACGCTGAAGACAAGATTAAGCCAATCGATATCTGGCACATCAGAGTACTTCTGTGCCCTACAGTCATGCTCAGAACACCAACTATTTCTTCCTGCAGTAAATTTCTCCAGTAGATAAGGTCTGGAAGATTTACTGTATTTTCCCTGCAGTAGCTCTGGAATATCACCTAGAGCAAGCCAATTTAAACTCTGCCATAGATTACTGAATTTATTTGGCAGTTATGAATGTCTCCTCCCAGACAGAAAGCAAGCACACAGCCGAGACGATCTATTTGCCTGGAATAAATCCCCGTGCCCTTTTCTTCTGATTACAACAGATACATTCCCTGCTGTAACACTCAATTTACCTTGGCTTGTCGAATGCGTATTACGGTGTATGCATTACTCCTGTGCAAATATATGAATATGGTTTTATGTCAAATACTGAAATCATGATAGTAATATAGTTTAAATACTAGATGGTTCCAGCAGAGATTATCCAAGTGCTACAATGCTGGTGTGTCGAATGGGATCCGGTGGAACAAACGTGAAACCACTGTTACTGCAGGTGTTGACTAGCAAATGAAACAACCAAGAATAATTAGAAAGCCTGCGCTTAGCAAAGTACAAAAGAAGCAAACTACAGGTCAAGAGACCAGACAGACGTTTTGTGCAGCAATGAAATGGAAGCTTAAGGTTTTCTACTATTAGCAGTCAAAAGAAAAAATGTTACCTTCCTTTAACCTCACTAGAACAGGGCCCACAGTATCACAAAAAAATACCTGAGATTTTTCATGATAAGTAATTGCCAACATAAGGGTTCTGATGATCTATTTTTGCTGCCGAAAGAGTAAGCCCAGCGGCTCTGAAGAGCTATTCAGCTGTTTGCTGATACAGGAGAGGACACTTGGAGCGGTCAGCAGCATTCTTGTCTTAGTACTCACTTCAGAATTGCAGGAATACTGGCTTCAGCCCCAAGAAGCTGCTCCGAGCTCAACTGCCACAAAGAAGGATCATTTCAGCTGCCCAGTAACCGAGGGACACACCAGAGCAGGGAGAAAGCACAGAATCAGGGGAAGGCCCCTGGTATTTCTCAGGAGACAGACCACCGCTCACACTCCTTCCTGTCCATGTTACATTCTTATTCTCTGCTTTTTCTCATCATTACCATCAGGTTTTTTTTTCCCCCTACAGACACCATCCACCTTTCCTGGGGACAACCACTGCAGGTATTCTTAGTGAATATATCCTGCTGTAACTGCCAAACCTTGGAGCTTCATCCCCATATGCCTGTGGCTTGTGTCTACTGTAATGTTCCTGAGAGCTCTCGATAAACACTAAGGTCAGGTACAAAACCTGGCTGATGCTAGTTTCTACCCGTGAGAAGGTTTAGGGCTGGGCCAGCCACTAAACAAGACAGATGCTTCCTGTTAACCCCTTTTCCTCCCCAAAAGGGAAGGAAAAAGAGAATAAGGCAGAGAGACTTACTGACTGGACAAGAAAAATAAGACAGCTTTAATGAAAAATTACAGTACTAATTAGAAAATAATGCAAGTAATGGAACATATATATAATTCCCACTGGTGCCGCAGCACAGGCAGGCACTGGGGAAGTCCCAGACCAGACTCAACGGCAGACGAAAACCAGACTCGGGAGCTGGATTTGGGAACCGGTCTAAGGAACTCACATATCAGGATTGAGCGCAGAAAAACGGACAGAGTCCTCCTTGGATGCCGACCACTGAAGATGAGGGTTCAACCCTTGTGATCCTTCAGCTTTATAGTAAATCTGAAGTATATGGAATTAAATATTTTGTTGGTCAGGTTTGGGTCACCCATCCTGCCTGCTTCTTCCCGGAGGCGCAACTTTTTACTTCCTTGCAAGCCTTTTACTGAACAGCACCCTTAACACGGCACACCACATTTAGCAGTGAGCTTGCTTACTGCAGCAGCAAATACAAGCAAGAGCCTTTCTGCATCTCAATCCCTGGCAGTAACTACAATCATGAGGTGTTATCGCTTCTAGAAGCGGACACCGTCTGAGAAAACACACTGTTCACTTCACAAAGTGCAGCCTCTTAGAGGAGACTTAGCTGAAAAGTAAAGTCACTGAACAGAATTGGTTCTGGTTTAGCTCAAACCAGGACAATCTGGCAACAGCCAGTATCACTGTAATTGATGAAAGAAGGAAGATGTACAAATCAGTAACTGTTTAAAATTTCTTACAAGAGGAAGCTTAAAAAAACCCACAGTCTTGGTGGAAGAGTGCCAATGGTTTTGTTTTGTTTTTTATTAATGTTTCCCTCTCCTCACACCGTTTTTCATCAAGCCATGAAAATTTCAAGTAGTAGCCAAAGTTCGTATTCTGTGTTACTTAAGAAGTCTCAAAAAAAGTTTTACAAAGGAAATCTGTAATCAAGCTTAATTACCATAACACAGACATCTCCAGCTTAACTCTACTTCGTTCACATTACAGTGGGGAATAAAGGAACGTAGTGAGTCTATCCATAGAACCAAGAGCCTTTCTGCATCTCAATCCCTGGCAGTAACTACAATCATGAGGTGTTATCGCTTCTAGAAGCGGACACCGTCTGAGAAAACACACTGTTCACTTCACAAAGTGCAGCCTCTTAGAGGAGACTTAGCTGAAAAGTAAAGTCACTGAACAGAATTGGTTCTGGTTTAGCTCAAACCAGGACAATCTGGCAACAGCCAGTATCACTGTAATTGATGAAAGAAGGAAGATGTACAAATCAGTAACTGTTTAAAATTTCTTACAAGAGGAAGCTTAAAAAAACCCACAGTCTTGGTGGAAGAGTGCCAATGGTTTTGTTTTGTTTTTTATTAATGTTTCCCTCTCCTCACACCGTTTTTCATCAAGCCATGAAAATTTCAAGTAGTAGCCAAAGTTCGTATTCTGTGTTACTTAAGAAGTCTCAAAAAAAGTTTTACAAAGGAAATCTGTAATCAAGCTTAATTACCATAACACAGACACCTCCAGCTTAACTCTACTTCGTTCACATTACAGTGGGGAATAAAGGAACGTAGTGAGTCTATCCATAGAACAGAAGCAGGTTTCTTGGCAGGCAGATATATACTACAAATGCAAGGCTATGCCAATTAAAAAATGATACTCTAGCTAAATTCTATAGCCAAACACACACAACTTTGTCTGCAAGCATCCTTAAATAAAACCATCCAGAAAAGTTTTCAGCAAAATAAGACTTACTTGTTTTAAACCTGTAAATAGGCATGTAAAAAGTATTTGCGACAGTTTATTTAAATCAGTTTTTAAACTGATTCAACTGTCTGCCTGAAGGTCTCTGTGTAAACAAATAGCTAAGATGAGGCACGGTAGTAAGGAAATATAGTCGTATTTCAAAAATATTTTTACTGGAAAGTGGCAGTAGACTTTCTGTATGGATCCTTTTCTACCTGGTAATTTATTTCTCTACAAATGCTGAGGAAGGGAGGAGACAAGTGGATAAGCCAGCTTTGGGAAAAGAGGCAGCATGAGAGCTTCCTGTGCAACGAAGCACAGAAGCTCCATAGCTCTAGAAAGAAGGAAAGAAACAGGACCATCCATCCGGGACCTGCAAAGCTTTGCTGTGGGAGGATTTCTGGACAGGGTAACAACCTTTCCTTTTAAAATACACCTGCACTATTGCTCTCCTGAAAAGTTAACTTGCTTTAGCACTAGTGAGGCGAGTCTGCAGTTTTGTTTTGCT